ACACACGCTCACACGACACCCCCCGATTTCTCGCGCTGAAGTAGGGCTGAACGATTAATTGCATTTGCGATAAAATCGCGATATGATGAAACGCGATTTTGTAATCGCAAGAGCTGCGATTACACTGGTCACGTGACACCCGAGAGAAAAGCAGTCTGCGAGATAAAGCATCAACTTGCCACGCTACGCGCGTTCAGAAAAGAACAGTTTATTGTGTTATTTATTCTCTCCTCTCCTCAACAATCCTGGATCGATTCAGAGAATTTCAGAATCGAGTCTGAGCTTAGTTTTTAAACACAGATGCGTGATGACGCTGCGCGTGCTTTAGAAACGAACCGTGTTCTGAATCTGCTTGCTTCTATTTTCTCGCTATCTCTCTTCCTCACTCACACACACGACACCGCTCTAAACTTCCAAAACATAGTAACGTTATTTCATAAAGTTCGGTATTGAACCGAATTACAACAAGGACATTCGCGGGCTTCATTGAACAGGTTTTGCCGCTTTGCTTGATGTTATAACGTTACACTTGCTGTGCGCGTTCTCTCCCGCGGGAATTTTCTTTACAAATGCTTCAGTTCACAGAGGCATTATTTACTAACGCGTGCTTTGTGAAGAGCGCTCGTGCATGCGGCTGTGAGTGACTCATTGGTAAATGTACTTGCATGTCAAAATGCTTTTATGACGTGAAATTAATGTAAACACGGTCAGTTGTACGGTCCAACAGGACAAACCACATTTACAATTTCAAAAGAGATATATGCATTAGTGTGAATGCAGCTTATCGTATCTAAACTGAGGGGAAATCACTCTTCATTCAGACAGCCTACTTTTAAATACCGAGACCACTCTTTGTTTATTGCTTGTAATGTTTTTTTTTTTTGTTTGTTTCTCTTTATTTACTAGCTTTTATATTTTGAAGCTATTTAATTTTAACATGTAATTGGTTTAATTAAATGTTTTTTATATTTATTTTTTATGTGTTTTTACACATGTAATTAAATACATATTTTAAGAGTTATTAAGATTGATTAATAAGAAAAAAAGTAGATCAGATCATGAGCTATCTAAAGATTCCCATCCCTACTGTACAATGATTTATTGCTTGTCTTTGTCGACTAATACAGAAGGTAAATAACTTTTTTTTTAAATCGCATATTAAATCGCAATCGCAATATTGGTTAAAAAAAATCGCAATTAGATTATTTTCCAAAATCGTTCAGCCCTACGCTGAAGTGTCAATCCCGTCGGTCAAATGCCTGAAAGATGAGTTTATCTATTGAGAATGAGGAGTTGACGTCATTTTACAGTGCCCCTCCCCTTTCCGCCATTTTGGTAGGATTCCCACGGCAAAACAGTATTGATTACGTGTGTTTTTAGCTCGGTAGTAGAGGAGTTTCTCGCAATACCGCACTGTTTTACCATGCCTGGAAGTAACTGCTGTGTTAAAAACTCCTCCAGTAACTCACACAATACATATGGAAAACATAGTAACAATGGAATTAAGTTTTTTGGGTTACCGAAATTGACACAGCAGGGAGAGTCTGATCTAACGAGGAGACGCCGGATTGCTAGGTTTGCTGATGCCTTTAGTATACGATTTTCACTGTTTGCTGTGCCTTAACGAACATATGCAAAAGTGTTGTTTGAGTGCCTTGTTCATTACTTTTTTATTTCATTGAAATAAATGTTTGAAACAACTTGATATGGCTTAACAATATTTATTGAGAACTGAAATATATAGCTATTTGGACAACATAAGTTTCATGGAGAACTTAAGTAATAATAATGAAATTATGATACTGTTATTAGTGCAAAAGAACAAATATATTGATGCTGCTTCTCCAAATACAGCTGTTTTGCACTTTGTGTGAGTTTGTTCCTGTAAGGTCCCTTTTCTTTCGCCTTATCTTTTAGCATTGCTTTACTTTCTTCCTTTTTTTCTCGTATTCTTAGATCCGTCTCTGTCCTGCCAAAATAATAAATGCGCGAAAATTTAAGAGCTCTGGAATGTTTAGTCGCGTCTATGGGTTCTAGGCGTTGCCCCTGGTAACCGATAGCGTCTCCTACCATCATGGCCGACAGGCTCAGACCCCACCCAAATCGGCACGTGACTCCTCATTCTCAATAAATCTAACCGTTGAGCCACATTTGTGATTGACTAGTTATACCGCAAATTATTTAAAATCTCCCGGAATCTAGAGCGAGCGCGCAAACTTCAAAGTCCAAACTTAGTATTGCGCGCACGACGAGGAGAGCAAGAGAGAGACTTGCGTACTATGCAGAGAGCATCCTGATCTGGAAACAGGACCACCATTGAAGAATGTCAAAATTCTACCTCAAATCTGAGCAAGCATGTCACGAGACAGCCTCACACGGTTAACTAAAGCAGCAAGCCGGTACAGGAATGTGAAACTTACTGGAATAAAAAAAAAAAAAAACCCTGAATCCCCCGTGACATGACCGCTGCAGCTACTTGCTGATGGGACATAAACACCGTTTAACTCCAAAAGAAAAAACAAAACAAAAAAAACTTGAAGCCAAAATACGGCATGCAACAGCATTTTCTGTTTTTATCAACCAATTTTTACTCCTCTCTGCACTTTACTGTTAAAAGACGCAAGTGTTGATAGTCAGGAGCGACTTTCATGATTTCTTGCAGTATTATACATCTATTCAAATGAAGGATTTTAAAAAATATATTTATTTATATGCTGGAATATGTAGAAATTTATATATAACAGAAGAGGGGCTGTCTTAATTTCATTAAAATGGTGGAATATGCAGAAAATAGGTTTAAATGTTCAACAATTTTCTTCTAGTCTGAGACTGTTGCATTTAATTTAATTTTTGCTTGATGCAATGTGCATAAAGTTAAAATATTGAAACAAATAAAACAAGTTTAAAAAAAGAGAATGTTTAATTTCATTACATAGAATTAGGGTGAAAGGTCTATGCTTTAGCGCATTCAGGTCGTGCATCGTGTTTTTGAAAAGTAACTTAGTAAAGTAACTAATTACTTTTGAAAATAAGTAATCAGTAAAGTAATTGGATTACTTTCTTGGAGAAGTAATCAGTAACTAATTACTATTTCCAAGTAACTTGACCAACAGTAGATGACCAGGTGCAGGCGGAAGCTAAAACTTATTCTGCCTGCCCTTTACTTTCGAATAAAATGCAACTCATTAATGACAACATCTGTTCATAAAATTAACATTAACACATTAGTGGACCATTGTCCACACACCGGAAGCAAGCCTGTCTAATTCATTTTCATTCTATTGAATATTTTTCCAATGTTATTCTCTTGTAAATGTTTTTAAACTGAAAAGTAGAGGTGGCTTGTTTTAACTCATTACGGCAACTATTCCACAATTTAACTCATTTGTTTGATAAACAGTGTTCTCTTAATGTAGAATGTACTTGTAGTTGGTTAAATATACATAATCCTCTAAGATCATATTTACGTTCTTGCTGGGAAAATAATAATTGCAAGCATTTAGGAGTTTTATTATATTTGACTTGGTAAATAAACTTTAACGTGTACAAATCAACTTCAAAATTTTTGATTGATGAAACGGTAAATTACTTGGTGAATTGTAAGGTGCATAGTTAATTCATCTGATAACCTTCTTTTGTAATAGGAAAATTGGATTGTTTCTAGTTTTGTATGTATTTCCGCAAATTTCAATACCATACATTAAGTATGGTGTGACAAGTGAACTATAAAGTAAATGTAATGCATTTTGTTCAAAATATACTGCAACTTATAAAAAATTGTCGTTTTTTTTTGATACTTCCTTCTGAACGTTAAAAATATGCTATTTCCATGTCATTTTACAATCAATAATTACTCCAAGAAATTTTATATGATTTACTCTTTCTAATGCATTTTCATTAATAGTAATCCTGATCTCATTATTTAACTCTTTATTACCAAATAATACCATAAATTTCGTTTTGTTTAAATTTAGTGACAATTTAATCAAATCAAACCAATTCTTTAGTTTATACAATTCTTTCTCTACCACCAACACAAGCTCTGTAAGATTTGGGCCAGAACAATAAATTGTTGTTTCATCCGCGAAAAGAATAAATTTAAAACATCCGACATATTAGTCTTGCATAATAAATCACTATGTTATTACTTTTATGGAACATTCAGTTTTCTGTAGTCTTAGGCTTTTGGTTCTGCTTGAGGTTTCTGTAACTTAAAAGGATGATATTTTACAAATTGTATCATGAAAACACTACTCAATGTGCAATTATTTATAGGGACAGATCTCAATAAATGCAGGCAACTAACAAGCAGTAGATGTTAAAACAGGCTATTATAATACTATTCGATATTAGAATGAATGCATTGACG